ATTTGCTTATTGTAATTACATGAAAATTTTTTAGGTTTTGTTTGAATGAATAGGGTCAAGTCCAGTCATCATGAGAGGATTTTTTTTTTTTAAAGATGTGAGGTACAATTTAGGGTTAGGTATACAAATACTCATTATGAAGGTACCCATCATGGGAAGATTTTTAAAAGTAAATTAATTTAGGGCTCAAAATGATGGCTGACAGCTTGCTCTTGTCTAGAGTTCCTTTTTTCCTTAGACTCATTAACTACTTACAAAGACACATATGTTTCACGAGGCTGAAATTGCAAAGATAAAGTACTTAACCACCTGAACAAAAAGAGAAATGTATTAAGCCATCATGACCTTCAGTGTGAACAAAAGTTCAGTTAGTGTCACCTCTTATTAATTCCGTCACCTTTCACCTTTCGGAATAGGGATCTAAGGCCCTGGCTCATTAACTATCAACTATCCTTCTGTCTTTACCAAAAAAGAGACTGACCCATACCATAATGTGATTCTGTTTGAGTACCATGGGTATATTCAGAAATAAAAAGTAAAAACTTTAATTACTAAAGAATACATCTTTTATAGCAAAGTTGAAAAAGAAGATAGTATTAACTTGATAATTTAGTCAATAGAATAAAAATCACAAAACATTGAAATTAAGCCAAACATTTTGAGGTTCTAGATATAACTAAATAAATATTCTAATTATCAAATGATGGTTCAAGTACCACTAGAGGTGCATATTAATTTTCCAAAAAAAGTTACTAATTCAGCCTTAAAGTAATTTTAACTAAGTTAAATTTCCGGGCATGGGTTGAATAAGTTAAGAAGAATTACTCAAATCATCCACTATATTACAAGATACACACATACACACACACATACACACACACACACACACACACAGACACACACCTATATGTGTGTGTATATATAGAGAGATATAAAAATATTTACTACTATAAGAAATAGCTCAAGCATATCTCAGTGCATACTGCTGTGTACATACAAAAGATAAACTAATGAACAAAATTACTATTATCTCATTTCATAATCTTGCTATTTTTCTCTCCTTGCTAAATATACACTTTTTTTTTTCTTCGAGTTGGAGACTCACTCTTGTCACCCAGGCAGGAGTGCAGTGGCACGCTCACAGCCACCGCAGCCTCGACCTGCTGGACTTAGGCAATCCTTTTGCCTCAGTCTTTCAAGTAGCTGGAATTATAGATGCACGCCACCACACCTGCTAGTTTTTGTGATTTATTGTAGAGACAAGGTCTCACCAAGTTGCCGGGGTTGGTCTCAAACCCTCAGGCTCAGGCAATCCTCTCACCTCAGCCTCCCAAAGTGCTGGAATTACAGGCTGAGCCACCGCGCCCGACCATACTTTTTTTTTTTTGAGTTGGAGTCTCACTCTGTTGCCCAGACTGGAGTGCAGTGGCCGCTCCTGGTCACCGCAGCCTTGACCTGCTGGGCTCCGGCGATCCTTCCGCCTCAGCCTTCAGAGTAGCCAGAATTACAGGTGTGCACTACCATGCCCGGCTAATTTTTTTTTTTTTTTTTTTATTTTATTATGGTAGAGATGAGGTCTCGCTGCCCAGGCGGGTCTCGAACCCGCGGGCTCAGGCAATCCACTCACCTCAGCCTCCCAAAGATTACAGGCTGAGCCACCGAGCCCGGCTTCAACCATACTTTTTATATGTAATATAGATTGCTCCATTCATTCAGGAATTTAAGTCAGCTCACTTACAAAAATTAACTTAACCAACCCATAATTTAAAAGAATGACTGCAATATAAGATAATGAACTTATTTTGTGGGAGGAATAAGTATTTATTATTATCTCTCTAACATCCTTGCTAATTAATATAGAAGCAATATAATATGCCATTTAAAATAATACTCTGATTTATTGCTTGAAAATGGTTAATTTCCTCAACATAATATAGGCATTACCACAATTGTTATCATTACTTTTAATTACCCAATAATTATAAGTTGAATACTTCACATGCCTGTCTGCCAAAGGAAGATACTAATTATTTAATTTAAAAAAGACTGATCTTGACAAGTTTAAAATTTGATAAGAGTTTATAGTATCTGATAATGGATAAGACATTATATTAATACCGAGGAATAACTTGGGCTTATAACTGTAGTGCATATTTTATGTAATAAGGCTCAGATAAAAATTCAAACCTTATAATTTATAATCTGACTGTCTAAAATAATGCAGTGCAATTTCAGCATTGATTCCTACCACACATTCATTTGGGATTACAAAAGCACAGATGATTGCTTTAATAGCATGATTAGGGGGATCATACTTCAAAAATGGTCTACTATTTGAACTGAGTACCCTGAACAGTAACATCTCAAGAGTAGAGACACATCAATGGAATAAGCAGGAAGGAAGCAAATAAAGCAACAGAGTTTCTAGTTCAAGTGACAATGGGAGTGAAGTCTCTAAGCAGACACAGGGAGCAGAAGAGAAGAAGCATAGCAAGCTACAAAGAGAAGATCGGGAGAGTTTAACAAGGGTTTAGTGGTTTCAACTACAAATAACTGCCAGATACAACACTCTTTAAAGTGGAAGATACATTAGCAACTCCTAAAACAAAACAAAAAAACCTGAATCAGAACAAAATTCAGGTTTCATTCAATCAAAAGAAAAACAAACAAACAAACAAACAAACAAAAAGCCGTAAAACAAGCAAATTAGTACGTGCAAGCCCGCACATACACGGAAAAATCTTTGATTTTAAATGGACTGCCTATACAGTTCAACTTTCTTCTGTAATGCTATACCTCAGAAATGCTATTTTAACTCCTACATACTGACACCATCATTTCTCCTGGTCTGAAATCTGGACCACTCTATGCCCAAAAAAGATCCATGTCCTTCACTACACCTCCACGTTTTTTTAACATCCTCTTGCCAGAGAACTGCAAACTATTCAGACCCCTTTCCACATGAAGGACCTGAATAAATCCTGCACACATTACTCTTCCATTATTTTCTGACATAAACCTTTTTCCAGCTGATTTAGGAAATCAAACCTTTCCATCCTGATTCCTTCTAATGTCTAACAGGAGCTCTCAAAACTGGTGGAAATGAATATGTTTCTACTTTCTTAATTGTAATATCTAGTAGTAAATATCATATACTTTCTTGTTATTCTGGCACTAGGCAAGTTAGACATTCAAACAACTTTAAGCATGTTTTTCCCCAAATTCTCGATTTCTGTTTCTAAGAACTGCATAATATTTTCCAAAAAACAAAATCAGAAGCTAACAGCGGCCATTAAGAACAAGAACACTGACCAGAGCACTTTGTAAAATTCTGGATGAAGAGTACAATTTAAATGGAATTCTGCACTATACACAGAAAAAAAAAACCCACAAGATTTTCTGGAAACTTTTGATTATTAACTTTAAGACAAGGGGCGTATTATGACTTAGAATGAAAGTTTGATACTATGCTATTAAGTGAGAATAGCATGATTTGAGGGCAGCATTCCAGAATATCAATATCAAAACTCTATTCCCAATATTAATAATAAATTTCTAATTGTGGCAGAATGTATTATATTTATTCTTGATTCTGTTTTTCAAGATACCGATCAAAGTTAATATTTATGCGTCTCTTAAAAGTGTTAGGGGAGGTAAAGTATTTGCTTTTTCCAACTGGTGCTTTGAAGTTTAATCTCAAAGTTTTTATCCATAATAAAGTATTTCCTGTCTTGATGAAATAGAAATACTATGACTAACATCATGCTGTAACCATTAGAAGGCAAAATATAATTTCAAAATTATATATTAAATTAATTCGATATGTCAGAATTACTTAGGCACGTTTGAGTCCACATATTTCAGGTATTTAAGATTTAAAAAGTAAAACAACCTGTTGTTTCTTGAAGTACATAGCAGGAAAAGTTCTCCAGATTAAATGTCAAAAGACCTGGGCCCTACAACTACTCTCGAGTTCGCTTAGCCTTTGACATTCAGTTCCTTTATCTGAGAAAGAAGAGAGAAAAATGCATCCTTGTCTTCCCTGTTATGGAGGGTTGATGTATGATGATGGAACTAAATAACAAACATAGATTAATTTTGTATTAAGGACTCAGCATACAAAAGACTATTCCCTCCACTGAAAAAATTAATGACTCTTTCCTTTGCTATCCAGAAACAGTATTGCTGTTTCATAAGATTATGAAACTTAACTGTGTACCTCTGGTAAAATAATCTGTGACTACGTCTACCTTTGTAAGAAGATAAAGTTCCTTTGATGAACAGATTATGTCTTCTGAATCTGAACATGCCAACTTTACAGATAAAGTGCCCAGGAAAGAGTAACTGGTTGAAGAAATAATGATTGGTAAATACATTTTTAAAAATCAAAGTTATTAGAAAGTAAGAACAAGTCCTTTGTTAATAAAAAATTGAAAGGAGAGACTTTTCAGTGAAAACCCTTCCTTGATTTAACTCAGAGATCTGTCACCAGTGGGCAGTTAATAAATTGTAAACAATCAGCTCTCTGACACTACCCCTCTTACCCAAAATAAGAGCTCTGATTTGTGCTGTTTCCAAGTTTCCCTTGTTCAAATATTTCCATTACAGCCAATTTCAAGCTACGGATGTGATACCAATTAACAGAGATTTGAGAAGAGATGTGCATAATATAAGCTTGCCAACTGCACAAACCAGCCCTATAACTCATCACCCTTTTTGTAGTGGCTTCAACTGTATACCTACTTTGACTCTCTTTCATATTTTCTTTCCTGTTTTAAAGATCTGTTGCCAAAATCAGGTGAGTAAACTTGACTTTGAGCCTTAAATATTTTATGAAATCTCAGAGGAGTGGGCTTAAAAGAGGTTAGAAAATTAAAAAAAAAAAAAGGTTCATGAAACAAACTACTCTATTTCTGGTTGCTGGAGTTCATATAAAGATTTCAGACTATTTAGATTGCCTCAAAGCCCAAAAAGCAAGGAGTATGGGTGGCATTACTTACTCAATTGTGTTTCTGTCCACTTTTCCTGTCATGTTAATGCCATAGAACTGCTGCATGGCAACTAGGGCAGACTGCATGGTCTCTGCAGAGCGCAGCACTGACATTCTGGGGTCAGTCGGTGGAAGGTAGCCGTACTTTTGTAACCAAACCTGCAATAACAAGTACAGTTCCTTTTAGATCAATTTTACAACTTAACAATAATTTTCTGGTAATTAACTTATATCTATAATAGATTTTTAAACAATTATTTTCTCTACAAGGGCATACTTTAACTGTTTGATCTTGTAACATATTACCTGGTTTATTTTTTTCAATATAATTTCATTGGTTGTTATGAATTTTTCTGACACACCTACTAATGTTAATTGAAAAAAGATTAATCATTTTTTTTGCAAGCTTATAGTATATAACAGACATTATAAATACTGAATAAAAACACATATATGACTCCTTTGGGACATCTATGTTGCAGGGGACAGTTAATGTGCATACACCACATCTAAAAAGTCATTTTCCTGAAATTGACCAGTGACTCCAGATGTGATGGGTAGCATCTTTACAGACTAACCATGTTATTCTGTCATGCAGTTTACTCAGTTGTAGCTACCTCTTTCCAAAGGTTGGTAACCTTCTCATGTGAAGAATATTCTTTCTTTGTTTATTTAAGGTAATTCAATTTAATCCAGATCACATAAGTACTCAAACATTTCACATACAGAGGAGATTCAACTATCATATCAAGTATGTTTAGCCTTCTCTTTAAGAGTCTCACAATTATTATCCCCCTTTTTCCCTGGTGAAGAGAGATCTGGGAGGATGACTAGAGAAAGAAGTTAGAGTTGAGTTCACATCCTAATCATGACTGGAAGAATTCAGAGTCTTTTAAGGTTAGATTATAAAAGTAATATAAAACTCAAGGTATTTGTGAAAAAAATCCACCAGGGAGTAAATGCTTTCTAGTTTTACAATTCTATGCATTCATTTTAAATTCACAATCATATGTTCAGCCCACATCCCATCCTACTGTTCTTCACCTCAATCTTCCCTCGGGCTCTAAGATTTCTTGAAGTGCAGTGAACTACCTGTCAAATTGATAAGGGCCAAGTAATTCTGCCCCTAGCATAAAATAAAAGCTGCACTATTTAGTGGAAGGTATTCACCAGTGTGTGTGCTTCTCTCCTTACCTCGGTCTATTCATCATATAAATGATGATCCTAAGAAATTGCAATTTTTCCCTAATAACTGTTATGCTTCCCTCATGACCTTACAACTACAACACAGGAGAGTTCTTTTCTAGGTGAAAATAGCCAGCAAATATAGATGTTAAACTTCACCAAAAAGAAACTTATATTAAGTATATCAAAGCTTTAAAATGTAAAACACAAAGTGGAATTGTTTTTGTGGTAATTCAAAAAATGACCCCCTCAAAAATGCAGTACTATAAGAACAACCCCTTGAAAAATAAAATGAAACATTTATTTTAAAACCATTTAAAAGATGAGCAATGCATCACTATCAGGAAGGTTTGGTGAAACTGAAACTAGTAAACTCATCTACCATACAGCAAAACCATACAAAGACACTCTTCGCATCTAATCTGTAATGAATAGGCTGCCAAGAAAAACACATACATTCAGTTACCTAGTTAACAGTGGTGTAATCCCAAATAGATTTCATTTTTTCCTGAATGAAAGAAGCAGTCAATAACATTATTTAATATGAAATTCAATACCTATTGTCATGTAATTTCTCAAAAATTAAAACATTACATCCTGATTTTTAATAATATAAATGTACCAATATTCTTAAATTGAACACTTCTTCCATAACAATTTGTTTGCATTTATTTTTTATTTACTGGAGAGCTGACTTGTTGCTAGGTTACTCATGGGTGCTAAGCTACCAGCAATTATGTTTATGAGGACAGCGAAAAGAAAACCTTTGATAATAAACCCTATGATTTCTATACAAATAGAAGAACCATAAACATATGTAAATGTTGAGTGCATAATGAAAAAATAGTGTGTTCTGGAAAATACATATTTGATTTATGCTTCAGCCTTTCAAACAAATGGTTTTTGAGTCATGTGAAAAATAAATTGTGATTTTTTTCTTAACTTGTCTTTTACATTATGCCATGCATCACGAAAGACTTTTTTTCTTTTATTTTTCAAAATCAACTGATTTTTATTATATTAAAATATAAATTCACGTGTGAAAAATAGCTATGAATATTTTGGCCAGTGAATGAACTGGGTATAACAGAAAGTATCTAGTCCTATTAGACAATACCGACAAGACTGGAGGGTGAGTCAGAGGGATGTTGATGCAATTAGGCTGATTTTGATTGCATTATCCTTTACTGATTGGGCCCTTGCAGGACCCTCCTATTTTTTTTATAATTGCTAATTTCTTTTATTTTAAATTTATTTATTTATTATAAAGATATAGGGTACAATTCAGGGTTAGGTATACAAACATTGATCATGACCTTGAACAATTATAATGCTATAAGAAAGTAATTGGCAGTAGTGGAAAATTGTCAGGGGAAGGGGAGTGGGACTGGCAGTTGGAGAAGACTGCTAGGGGAGGGAGGGGCGTGCCTCATCAACAAGACTGTTGTTTTTTTTGTTTTTCAAATGATTGAGAAGTGAGTAATTCTTAACTGTAAAATATCAGAAAAGCTTTGAGATTTGCCATTTTATGATCAAAGTTTGTTTTCTGGCTGACAAGTCAATGCCATGATTTGTAAACCAGGAAACAAGTTTTTCTGCTGAATCTCAAACTTACAATATCTTATTTGGTGAAAAAAAAAATCTATAAAGCATTATTTGAAGGTATACCTTACCCCTTACTCCTAATATTCTACTATCCTAAGTTAATGATTTGGTATGAGGTCTTTGTATCTTCTTCACTGTCCATAAAAATGCATTTTGAGATACATACATATATGGGTGTGCATACACATATGCATATATATCATATATATCATGATTATACCATAGGCATCCATCATCATAGGTTGTTTTGTGAATTACATCACTATTTTCATCAGTTTTAAAAGATTGCTTCTACTAGATGATTAAAAAATACTAAATATTTCTCTTGAAATTACTTGTGCCTTGTTATCTTTTCAAGGTTCTTAAGTACACATTATTGATAATTAAGAAATAATTTCCTTGTGTGCATTTGTAAGAATGATATCTAATTTGTAGAGTCAACGTGAGGATTAAGTTAGAATATATAAAACTTTCAGTTTAATTCTTGCTCAATAAGTCATATTATTATTTTATCCTTAACAAATGCCCTGAGTTCTTAAAGTCACTCCTGCTCAACTTTAAATTTGTCCTTGGAATGGGGCAAGACTAAAAATATGAGAGAGTTTTAAATAGTCATAGTTGTAAGGAGAACAAACAACATATGGTAAAGAATTATATAGTGCTTGAAAATCCCCCAAATCCAAAACAATTCAGGAAAGTGTGATGAATTGACTTTTGCTTTGCTTTGTTTTGTACTTGCTATATTGACAATTGCATTTGAAAGCATTGAGAAAAACAAAAAAAAAAACAAAACAAAAAAATAAGGGACAAACAAGTTTCTTTAAGGCAAAACTTGGCTCCTTTTACTGAGACTTACCCCGTCTCGTCACTGGAACCACCAATCACAGAACCTTAAGAGGGGCAACAAAATCTAACCCTGAATTATATTCCTTGTGTTACTAACTCATTCAAACATCTTGCTACTTTGTAGACAAACCAATTTCTTTCACACAGTGATTATTAAATTGGGGACAACAACCAGAAGACTGATGTAATAAAATATATACAGCAATAAAAGGTAAACACTTAACTATTAAGTGCTGTGCCAATAGATATTGCCTTTACTATATTGTGGTATAAATAGGGAGCAGAAGTCACACAAAGTTTCAACAAAATTCATTCAAAAAAGATTGTCTTTGTCACTAATATTTCATGTACACATACTGTGATAACCTACATTAATGAACTCAGTTTCTCACCCACATATATTAAGCAGTATTCTGAAAGATAATTATAACACAAAAAAGAGACTGGAATAGTTTTCATGGCTAATAGCAAACCTAAGCAATTAATTTTTTTTTTATTTTTTATTTGAGTTGGAGTCTCACTCTGTCACCCAGATTGGAGTGCAGTGGCCGCTCCGGCCACTGCAGCCTCAACTGGCTGGGGTCCAGTGATCCTTTGGCCTCAGCCTTCCAAGTACCTGGAACTACAGGCACATGCTACCACTCCCGGCTGATTTTTGATTTATTGTAAAGATGAGGTCTTGCCAAGTTGCGCAGGCGGGTCTCCAACCCGCGGGTTCAGGCAATCCACTCACCTTGGCCTCCCAAAGTGCAGGATTACAGGTTGAGCCACCAAGCCCGGCAAAGCAATTAATTTTTAAAATATACATTCTTATTTATTTATTCAGGCCAGTATTATAACTTATTAATTTACTCAGGTGAATAAGAACAATTGAATACAAGATCAATTTTGAAACTGCCCTACTGACAGGACATAACATATATAGAGAAAACATCTTGAAATGATGACGATGAGTAATTGCAAGGTGCCCAGACATTATTTTAATAATAATAATAAGTGAATAGGTGATTAAACTATTGAATATGTAGAAATTATGGAAATTATTAGAAGGGAATATAAAGAGGAATAAATTTGGAATTTTATTTAACCTGTGAAATCACTTTGCTAGTCCGCAATGCCTATTTGTGACAGTGCTAGTTATTTCAGATTATTTCAAATATAGTTCATTTCTGCCCAAGATGAAGGAATGACAAATGCAAGTTCCTTGTATTCAGTGATCATATGATTCAAAGTATAGTACTTAATATGAAAAGAAAAGGGCAAAGGTGGTAAATACATTTTACAGCATTTGTGTAGTTGCAGTCACTTTCATTTACAAGAGGACATAAACCCTTTTATTATATTGGGAATTGATTTTTAAGTTATTGACTTATCATTGAATTTTAACATTTAACAAAATTATTTAAATCTATGATAGTTACTGTATTGTGATATAAACTGATTTTCTCAAAGAAATTCAACTTAAAGAATGCATTTTCAATAGATAACTTCTTGAAGTTAGAAAAAAATTAACTTCCATTTTT